TGGGAGGCAGAGCAGGTCTGGACAGAGGGTGGTACAAGCTGCAAGCTGGTGATTAGTTGCTAGGACTGCCCTGGATTCTAACAATCAATCACCTGATGTTAACTTATGCAGCTCTCACCCTCCATCCAAATGTGTCCTACCTCCAGCAGAGCCTCCAGAGAAAATAACAATGGCGGCAGCTCCTAAATGGCAGGACTGTGGCTGCCCAAGATGACTGGTATAAAGCTTAATGTGACAGGGAGGCTGTCCCCCGCCCCCCCCCTGGAACAGACGCAGGGTCTCATATGCGACCCCTGATGGTACGCTAGTGCCCTTCCCCCATCCTAGTAATGACATGACCTCCCCCCAACCTAGTGATGACATGACCTCCCCCCCTCCTCCCCCCATCCTTGTAATGATGACCTGACCTTGCCCCCTCTCCCCATCCTAGTAATGACATGACCTTGCCCCCTGCTTTCCCCCATCCTATTAATGACGATATGACCTTGTCCCTCCCCCCATTCCTAGTCATTAAATGACCTTGCCTACTTCCCTTCAGCCATCCAGGTAATGACAACATGACCTTGCCCTCTCCCCCCAATCCTAGTAATCACAAGACCTGCCCCCCATCCTAGTAATGACAAGACCTTGCTCTCTTAACGCATCCTAGTAATGATGACATGACCTCACACTCCAATCCTAGTAATGACATGACCTTGCCCTCTTCTGTCCCCCCATCCTATTAATGATGACCTCCTCCCCTCCCCCCAATCCTAGTAATCACATGACCTGCCCCTTCCCCCCATCCTAGTAATCATGACCCCCCCTGCTATTAATGACAAGACCTTGCCCTCTTCCACCCCATCCTAGTAATGATGACATGACCTCCCCCCCCCCCCCCCAATCCTAGTAATGACGTGACCTTGCCTCCTTCCCTCATCCTAGTAATGATGACATGACCTTGCCCCCCCCCCATCCTAGTAATCATATAACCTTGTCCCTTTCCCTCCATCCTAGTAATCACACGGCCACGCTACCCCCATCCTAGTAGTGACATGACCTCATCCCCTACAGAAAATCCTCATTAGGTGAGTGAGCAGAGCAATGTGGTAGCTCACTGTCCCCCCCGCTGTTGTCAGCACATTGCCATGCTTTTCCGTCCTAGGCTCCACTCTATTCAAGAAACATGGGCACACATGGCTTCTCCCGAGCTACTGGACTATAGAGCTTGGCTGGGAGACACAAGGCAGATCAGAGCTGGACTCCAGCTCTGGGATTTTGTGGGGGAAATGTAACATGACAGCAGGGAGCAGAGCGATGGGTCCCCTGGAGATAAAGGCGGGGTCATAAGTGCAACCCCCGTGTCCCCGAATGCTACACCCATGAGGTCAGCAAATAATGTAATATTGGGATATACACTATATTGCCAAAAGAATTGGGGTGCCTACCTTTACATACACATGAATTTTAATGGCATCCTAGTCTTAGTCTGTAGGGTTCAATATTGAGTTGGCCCACCCTTTGCAGCTATAACAGCTTCAACTCTTCTGTAAAGGGTGTCCACAAGGTTTAGGAGTGTGTCTATGGGAATGTTTGACCATTCTTCCAGAAGTGCATTTGTGAGGTCAAGCGCTGATGTCAGACAAGAAGGCCTGGCTCGCAGTCTCCACTCTAATTCATCCCAAAGGTGTTCTATTGGGTTGAGCTAATTCAAGTTTCTCCACCTCAAACTTGCTCATCCATGTCTTTATAGAACTTGCTTTGGGCACTGGTACTCAGTCATGTTGGAACAGGAAAGGGCCATCCCCAAACTGTTCCCACAAAGTTGGGAACATGAAATTTTCCAAAATGTCTTGGTATGCTGATGCCATAAGAGTTCCCTTCACTGGAACTAAGAGGCCAAGCCCATCCCCTGAAAAACAACCCCCCCCCCCCACACCATAATCCTCCCTCCACCAAATTTATACTTGGCACAATGCAGTCAGGCAAGTGCCGTTCTCCTGGCAACGGCCAAACCCAGACACGTGCATTGGATTACCAGACAGAGAAGTGTGATTTATCACTCCAGAGAACACATCTCCACTACTGTAGAGTCCAGTGGCGGCATGCTTTACACCACTGCATCTGAGTCTTTGCATTGCAGTTGGTGATGTAAGGCTTGGATGCAGCTGCTCGCCCATGGAAACCCATTCCATGAAGTTCTCTACGCACAGTTGTTGTGCTAATCTGAAGGCCACACAAAGATTGGAGGTCTTTAGCTATTGACTCTGCACACAGTTGGCAACTTCTGCACACTGTGAGCTTCAGTATGGGCTGACCCCACTCTGTCATTTTGCGTGGTCTACTGCTTCGTGGCTGAGTTTCTGTTGTTCCCAGTTGCTTGAATTCACCGAGCTCCTGAGAACGACCCATTCTTTCACAAATGTTTGTAGAAGCAGTGTCAGGGCTCCGGAGTGTGACCAGAGGTATGTGACTGACGCAGGGAAATGCAGGCTTCAGATAAGTTATAAACAATATAATTTATTAAAGACTAACAATACAAACATAAACGCAGTGCAATACTAAAACATAACACAGTGCAAACGAACCAAACCAAACCACCCACAGATAACAGTACATATAATGCAAGCGTCGTCAGGCAGGCCGGGTCAATAACAATCGGGCAGGTAGGTACAGGGGGTCAGGCAGAGAATGGTCGGGGTCACAAGCCAGGGATGAAACAGGAGAAGTCAGCAGAGGTCCGGATCAGGCAGGGTCAGCAACGAATCAGTCAGACAGGAACAGGAACAGGAACAGGGATAATGTCAGGAATCCCCGCTGCGATGGACTCGGCGCAGGCGCAGTGCACCGCTCCGTGTCAGAATGCGGGCACTGAGACCTGGCCGTCCGCGGCGAGGGAGTTCGCGCATGCGCAGTGGGGACCCGCGGGCGCGCGCGTGGCACCAATGGCAGCGCAGGGCGGGATATTTAAACGGCCCTGAGCTGTCATTCAGTGCCTTCTGGTCTTTCCTTGTATCCTGTATCTGCGAACCTGTTCTAGTAAGTTATTGACCCGGATTATACCTGACTTTGTTGCCTTCTCCTGCCCAGACCCTTGCTTTGCCTGACCTCTCTCCTGAATGCCCCTGTTTGGATCTGACCTTCCGTTGCTGACCTGGCGTGTGACCCGACTACTCTCTGCCGCTGCCTTGTACTGCTCCGTCCCCACTGTTACCGACCCGGCCCGTTTGACCCCGCACTTGCCCAGCCATCCATCCATCCATCCCGACGGGATCACCCGACCTCCTCACATCAGGCTCTTCCCTGCGGGAGCCCCTGGCGAATACCGCTACCACTGACGGGCGTGCTCAGTAGCCACGACCTGGTCTCGGGGTACTTCAAGTCCATCCCCACCATCAGGGGCTCTGGTGAACACGTACCCTGGGGCTTAGATACCGTGCGCTGGGGACGCCTGGCCAGTGGAGTGCTAGTGGTACCGCCTGGTGGTCCTTTACAGATGCAGGTAACAAGATACAGGGCCCAGGAAAAAACACACACCAAGGCAGAGACTGCAGGTCTGGCCATCCCTTAAATACACCTGCATGATCAGCTTCAGGTGTTTGGCTGGCTGCAGGGTTGAGTCTCTGATTGCCGGGAGCACCCGCTGGCCAGCCCTGGTACTGCAGCCCACAAGGCAGGTGAGTCCCACCATTACTGGCAAGTCCATTCCTGACAGTACCCCCCCTCAAGGAGCGGCCTCAGGAGGCTCCAAACAGTCCTAGCTGGGCAAAATGTTCCACCGCCCGGGTCTGGTAACTGGCGGGATATCAAAGACTGGCATATCGGGCACGACTCCGGGCAGCGGCACATCGGGCTGGACTCCGGGCAGCGGCACATCGGGCTGGACTCCGGGCAGCGGCACATCGGGCAGGACTCCGGGCAGCGGCACATCGGGCAGGACTCCGGGCAGCGGCACATCGGGCAGGACTCCGGGCAGGACTCCGGGCAGAGGCACATCGAGCTGGACTCCGGGCAGAGGCACATCGGGCAGGACTCCGGGCAGGACTCCAGGCAGAGGCACATCGAGCTGGACTCCGGGCAGAGGCACATCGAGCTGGACTCCGGGCAGAGGCACATCGAGCTGGACTCCGGGCAGAGGCACATCGAGCAGGACTCCGGGCAGAGGCACATCGAGCTGGACTCCGGGCAGGACTCCGGGCAGAGGCACATCGAGCTGGACTCCGGGCAGAGGCACATCGAGCTGGACACCGGATCACCAGGCAGAGCAGCAGGCACCGGGCCACCAGGCGGAGCAGCGGGCCCCCAGGCTTCCCGGCGGATGCCGGGCTCCCCGGCGGAGCAGCACGCACCGGGCCACCAGGCGGAGCGACTGGCATCGGGCCCCCAGGCGGGGCGGCGGGCCCCCCAGGCGGGGGGCGGCGGGCACCGGGCCCCCAGGAGGGGCGACAGGCATCGGGCCCCCCCAGGCGCGGCGATGGGCATCGGGCCCCCAGGCGGGGCGCCGGGCTCCCAGGTGGAGCGGCGGGCGCCGGGCCCCCAGGAGGGGCGACAGGCATCGGGCCCCCAGGCGGGGCGACAGGCATTGGGCCCCCAGGCGGGGCGACAGGCATCGGGCCCCCAGGCGGGGCGACAGGCATCGGGCCCCCAGGCGGAGCGGCGGGCACCGGGTCATCAGGCACGACAACGGGCATCGGGTCACCAGGCATCAGGTCATTTGGCTCGCCAGTGGGCACCGTGTCATCTGGCAAGGCAGTGGGCACCGAGTCACCAGGCACGACAGTGGGCTCCGAGTCAACTGGCATGACCGCGGGCACTGGGTCAGACATTGGATCGTCTGGCTGGACAGCGGGCATCGGGTCACCAGGCATCAGGTCATTTGGCTCGACAGCAGGCACCGCGTCATCTGGCAAGGCAGTGGGCACCGAGTCACCAGGCACGACAGTGGGCTCTGAGTCAATTGGCACGACAGCGGGCACCGGGTCATCTGGCGCTGGATCGTCTGGCTGGACAGCAGGCACCGGGTCATCTGGCGCTGGATCGTCTGGCTCGACAGCGGGCATCGGGTCACCAGGCATGACCGCGGGCACTGGGGGTCATCAGGCATTGGATCGTCTGGCTCGACAGCGGGCATCAGGTCACCAGGCATGACAGCGGGCACTGGGTCATCAGGCATTGGATTGTCTGGCCAGCGGGCATCGGGTCACCAGGTATACGACAGTGGGCTCCGAGTCACCAGGCATGACCGCGGGCACTGGGTCAGACATTGGATCGTCTGGCTCGACAGCGGGCATCGGGTCACCAGGCATCAGGTCATTTGGCTTGACAGCGGGCACCGCGTCATCTGGCAAGGCAGTGGGCACCGAGTCACCAGGCACAACAGTGGACTCTGAGTCAATTGGCACGACAGCGGGCACCGGGTCATCTGGCGCTGGATCGTCTGGCTGGACAGCAGGCACCGGGTCATCTGGCGCTGGATCGTCTGGCTCGACAGCGGGCATCGGGTCACCAGGCATGACCGCGGGCACTGGGTCATCAGGCATTGGATCGTCTGGCTCGACAGCGGGCATCGGGTCACCAGGCATGACAGCGGGCACTGGGTCATCAGGCATTGGATTGTCTGGCTTGACAGCGGGCATCGGGTCACCAGGTATAACAGTGGGCTCCGAGTCACCAGGCATGACCGCGGGCACTGGGTCAGACATTGGATCGTCTGGCTCGACAGCGGGCATCGGGTCACCAGGCATCAGGTCATTTGGCTGACAGCGGGCACCGCGTCATCTGGCAAGGCAGTGGGCACCGAGTCACCAGGCACAACAGTGGACTCTGAGTCAATTGGCACGACAGCGGGCTCCGGGTCATCAGGCGCTGGATCGTCTGGCTCGACAGTGGGCATCGGGTCACCAGGCATGACAGCAGGCACTGGGTCATCAGGTACCGGATCGTCTGGATCGACAGCGGGCACCGGGTCATCTCTGGCCCTGGATCGTCTGGCTCGACAGCGGGCATCGGGTCACCAGGCATGACAGCGGGCACTGGGTCATCAGGCATTGGATCATCTGGTTCGACAGCGGGCATCGGGTCACCAGGTATGACTGCGGGCACTGGGTCATCAGGCATTGGGTCGTCTGGCTCGACAGCGGGCATCGGGTCACCAGGCATGACAGTGGGCACCGGGTCATCAGGTACCGGATCGTCTGGCTCGACAGCGGGCACTGGGTCATCAGGCGTGATAGGATCATCAGGCTGGATCAGTTCATCAGGCTGGGTACAGACATCAGGCTGGGTACAGACATCAGGCTGGGTACAGACATCAGGCTGAAGTGCGGGTGCCGAGGCACCAGGCTGAACCACGGAAGGCAGGTTCTCAGACGGCAGGCTCACCGGTTTGCATACTGGCAGGATGGTACTGGTTGGAAAGAATTTCCGCTTTTTTCTGGTTTTAACTACTGGGGCACTGCAAGTAAACGCAGGTCTGCAAACGAATGGAGCAGCTGAGGACAGAGAAGAGCTGGAAGATGGAACAGAGGAGGGAGCAGTTGCTACAGAGGACTTCCTTACAGGGTTAAAGAAAGGATAGGTGCAGCGAGTGGGAGCAGAGGACTGGTATGTGGTAGTTAGAGTATACTGGGCAGTCACTGGGGGTGCTGTCGGGGATGCAGGAAGAGTGCCTTGAGTGGAAGAATGATGTTGAAAGTTGACTGAGGCTGGGTGCAACAATTCTGACCATGTCTGCAGTATGGGTTGAACGATGCTCAGTTTACACAAAGCCTGTCTGGTCAATGACTGCACTGCGTTTATACAATCTCTTAGTATCTGTGGTGGACATGCAGAATAACGCTCCAGAAAGTAATCCACATCATCCTCTAACCATACCAGGGACTCTACCTGGTCGGCACTAAATGGCGGCAAAAATTCATCCCTGCATTCGGGGGTACCAGATGAAACCAACTCAGCACAAACCTGAATCAATGGCTGCACCTCAGAGAATTCTGTACCCTGATCTACTAGAACATGAGCGATCCGTATACATTCTAGCAGTTCATCCCTGGGATACTCCTTCAGAGTTTGATAAGCATATTATCTGTCATCAAACACTAGCAGAGATAAATACACCACCTCATCAAGATCCATCCTTCCCAGCAACAAGCCAAGATGGCTTCCCTGTGCAGCCACTTCTGGTCAGGATTGGCCTTGGGTAATGTCAGGGCTCCGGAGTGTGACCAGAGGTATGTGACTGACGCAGGGAAACGCAGGCTTCAGATAAGTTATAAACAATATAATTTATTAAAGACTAACAATACAAACATAAACGCAGTGCAATACTAAAACATAACACAGTGCAAACGAACCAAACCAAACCACCCACAGATAACAGTACATACAATGCAAGCATCGTCAGGCAGCCGGGTCAATAACAGGTAGGTACAGGGGGTCAGGCAGAGAATGGTCGGGGTCACAAGCCAGGGATGAAACAGGAGAAGTCAGCAGAGGTCCGGATCAGGCAAGGGTCAGCAACGAATCAGTCAGACAGGGACAGGGACAGGAACAGGGACAGGGATGCAGGTAACAAGATACAGGGCCCAGGAAAAACACACACCAAGGCAGAGACTGCAGGTCTGGCCATCCCTTAAATACACCTGCATGATCAGCTTCAGGTGTTTGGCTGGCTGCAGGGTTGAGTCTCTGATTGCCGGGAGCACCCGCTGGCCAGCCCTGGTACTGCAGCCCACAAGGCAGGTGAGTCCCACCATTACTGGCAAGTCCATTCCTGACAAGCAGTCTGCATGTCTAGGTGCTGGATTTTATACACTGTGGCCATGGAGGCAATTGGAACATCTGAATCAAATGATTTGAAGGGGTGTCAATACTTTTGGCAATATAGTGTAGCTTAGACCCACAGGACACAGCTAACATTTTGGGGCAGAAGCAACGCGGCCTCTTTACTGGCATCAGAGTGGCCCAGTCCACTCTTTTGTTAGGCAAACAAAGCGGCCGCAAGGCCCCTGTGAACACAAAGCCTTAGGCGAAAACATAATTTGCCTAATTAAAGAGCTGCTTCTGCAGTCACCAAGTTACTTCAGAGATATTTATTTTTAGTGATCTGAATGTATGAAGCAGTTGTTAGAAAATCTCATGAACTCACTAATACTGCATGTAATGTATACAGGGCAATTAATTTTGCAAATATGAAAACAAACTAGTAGTACATGTTTCTTTTTTTTTTGTTTCTTTTTTACAGGGTAATTAGTATTTATATATTTCTGGTATTTATACAGAGCTGACAATTTATGCAGCACTTTACATATATATATTGTAAATTTCAGGGATTTTTTCACAAAAAATAGGTGCAGAAACTCCCCCCCTTCTGAGTCACTTTTTGTCTCCACCCACTACCCACCTCCGAGCAATGTCATTTGACTTCACCCCCTACCCACCTCCCAGTACCTCTCCTTTTAGAGAATACAGAGCCAAGTAACATGTTGTGGTGCTAAACAATTTGTATGGAATTTGTTAATGATAACATGAAAAGCAGAAAAATTGATCCCCCACAACAATAGACCCCCCCCCTCCCCAGCAACAATAGATTCCTGGAAAGCTGTCAGAGGCCAGTGGCGTTTTCTTTGTCTCCATACCATGACTTTCCTGATGGAAGTTATCCATACCTGTGGAGAAGCTGGATATATTTCTATGCCCATTTAATATGCACTTCTGGTGAGTGCATTCATATAGCAGTTTTCAAGCACGGAGTCACTTTCACCCGTTCATCACAGAGATTTTTGGGACATTTTGACATTCATCCGAATTATCTCATCAATTTATTTATATTGGACTGTTCACCTAAGTCACTTTATATTTATTTGTAAATATCACTTACTCGCTGATATTTTGCGGGACACTCTAGCAATATTATTCACTTTAGCGCCAATTCAGCATCTTCACTTTGAGTATGTCACTATTGTCACTTTATTCAGTAGCATTTTTGTTTTTATATTATAGCGCTGCATTCTACGTTTTTTCATAGTATCTCTATTGTGTTTTATGATCATTGTTAGCTTCCCTAAATCACACAGAGGGGGTGATAAAGAGTTGAAATTAAAACATGACGAATTAAGGTGGTTTATAGATCTTGAAACTGTTCAACTGACGAGATTAAATGTTGATTTCTATATGGACTTATTTATCTGATATGTTGCAGTGATACTATGAGATGTATTTTGAAAAAAAATCATAGAGCTATTGTTCCAATGAAATTGCATGTACACTAGTACATTCTTTCTATGCAAATAAGGGTAAAAAGAAATTATATTATTATATTTGACTACGCACACACAAACTGGTTTTATATTTCAGATTATCTTTTCAAAGATATACTGCTTTTTATATCTACAGCTCTATTCTTGTATTCTGGGTTGACTGGTATTTCCTAATACAAAGTATCCCTATACCAATAAATTAGAAAAGAACATCTTCCCATGTTTGTTGGATTCTTTTTGGATGTTCCTGTTGGATATTTGAATTTTAATAACTAGGCATTTGGTTTGTCTACTTGTCTGGTCCACTTGGCCTATCCTACTTATGAGGAAAAAAAACTTCTTTTAATGACATTATTACATAAAACTAGTGAAAATAAAAGTAAAAAATGGAAAATATATCTTAAAAACATCAAATCCTGATAAGTAAATGACAATGTCAGAAAAAATTTGGTTTTCAGTATATATATATATATATATAGCACAAACCAATTTTATGTATTTTAAATGTTTTAACGCTATGTCTAAATGTCTAATATAAAATCATGTGTTTGTGCCTATATTGTTCACTTTAAAAAACAATTGTATTACTATACTGTAATTATGGCCAGCTAGCCATTTGAGAAAATGAGACAACTGAAGGTTCACACAGCTAATGGCATTCATTCCAAATGAGTGGCCAAAGGCAATGCAATAATGTCCTCCAATAGTGGCAGAGTTTTTTTTAACTTTATTAAAGAGTTGGTAATTATGAATCTGATCTGCAAAGGTGAAAGGTCAGTTGTTCCCAACTCTATGAAAACTGAGCTAATAAATGATAAAAAAAAAACAAAAGTACTTTTGTTATTTACAGTTATTTTTATGTTTGAGTTGACAAACAAAAAAATAAAGTCTGGGTTTTATTCTAATGGTCAGTAATTATTACTTAGGGGTCTATTTATAATTTTTCACTCAAGATTCACACATTTGTCTAATTGAATCAAACTAAAAAAAAGACCCATCGCCTATTACCTCTCACTGGCGTTTTGAGGGGACTCTCCCTTCTTAAACCTTACTACCATTCTCGCTTTATTACCCCTACCTAAACCCTATTCTCTCTCTACAGTCCTTCACACTTTCCCCATTCTAGACCCCCTAGTGTTTTTTTATCCTCTCTAACTCACTAATATCCCTTCAACACTCCCTCTCACCCCTTTCATG